TTTAGTAATTATTGCTATTCTACGTTTTATTTATGTGTCTGGATCTAGTTGGTCCATTATCACAGTTCCCAAATATGTCATTTTGTAAACTTTCTCAGCTTGGACTCCGTTTAATTGAAACTTTGCATTTTGGGATGTGGGTCACGACTAAACACTAAAAATTTGGTTTTGTTTGAGTTTATTTTTATGCCCATTTCCTCTCCTATCTTGTAAATACAATCAAGCAGAATTTGGAGACCTTCAATATTATCTGAAAGAATGACTGTATCGTCTGCATATCTAATCATATTAAGTAGTTTCCCGTTGATTTTTATTCCATTTGGTTGTCTCTCAAGTGCATTTTTAAATAACTGGTCTGAGTAAACATTGAACAATGTTGGCGACAAAATGCAACCTGGTCTGACTCCTCATTATATGGAGATTCATCGGTGTAGTTATCTCCAATTTTTACGATAACAGTTTGATTCCAGTACTCCAGACTCGAATATCCTTGTCATCTATTCCGATATTTTTTAGTATTTGCATTAATTTTACATGCTGTACTTTATCAAATGCCTTTTCGAAGTCCATGAAACATGCAAATACATCTTTTCTTTCAAGAGCTCATAGATAAGTGCATAGCCATGAGAAGGATAACAAGAGCAAGGGACAGAGCAGGGATAAACCCTGTTATGGTCGAACAAATCCAGCAAATCGAAATAGAATACCACACACGAAAGAGAGAACTCTACAGAAAAAATCGTACAGAAATAGAAAACACGAAAGAACTATGTGACAAGCTGGGTAAGGACATCTTTGGTCAGGGATATAGGGTCGCAATGAAAAAGTTCCAGGCGTACCCCTCATACGAAATGCCAGTAGACAAAAAGCTTGAGGTAACACGAGAGCTTTTTTCGTCCGGCAGATGGCTTGGAGTGTGGAGGGACGAGGAAGCTGAGCGAGCCATACTCTTTAACATGGATGAATTATTCGAGGAATTAGATGCACTCAAGACTCGTAGGTCCCCCGGACTAGATCAGATACCGCCCGAAGCTGTATAGGGTCTGGGACACGCGGGACCTGGATGGCTTTTGAAGCACATGAATGCATTTCCTCAGCACAGATATTACTTCATAATAGAAATTATAATATTTTATATTTAACCAAAGGTAGCATTATTAAATAGGCTAGTTATAAGCAATAAGTGACAAAGTACAATTACCGGCCAAGGCACGAGGCGAACTCTTCAAAGGTTGTATCAGAAGAGATCTAAAACATCAACAGGTATTAGTTTGAAAGTGTGTTAAATTACTTATGAGTGGAATCGTACATTCTAAGTATAGCCGAAAAACAAGAGTGACATTTCATAAAGCTCGACCTAACAGATCAATAATTTCAAATGAGTTGGAATACCAGACTGTTACCAAAGTTAGTACAAGTTGACATTAATAAGTGAACAAGGTTTTAAAAAAACACCTCTATCATTAATCAGGATCTCAACTTTGCATTAAACAGGAGGACAGAGGGTGGCACCTCTGTGTATTAACCACTGCAGTGGTAAAGTTTTAGCAGACATTCGAAAAGAAAAAAGGGAAAGATCAATGAAAAAATGACAAGAAGCGTAGAACAACACGGAATATGTTACCCAATGGACTAAGATGCTGATCTCAAGCCTAAGGGACTGGGTGTAGTCTGGTTACAGGGGACTGGATTACAAAGACTTAGATTACAAAAAATAAAGGTCCATTTGATTATTCTTCTTTATGTACCATGTCCTTTCATAACGTTGGTTACCATCATAGCTTTCTTAATTTTATTCACTGCCACACTAAATAGCATGCTTGAATCAACACCATACCAATCTCGCAAGTTCTTCAACCATGAGGTTGAGGCGGTCCTCAATGCCAATTTCTTGTTACATAACACCTTGGACATCCTTCTAAAAGCAGCTTTATTCTGCTCTATCCTAGATCTAATCTCTATCGCCGAGACTTTCTGCGTTACCATTTAATTGCTGTCCAAGGTAAACGATTTTATCAACTTGCTCAAGTTTGGTATTATTTACATATATAGACGGTTTTATATGCTTTGTTTACTTATTACGAGTATTTTGGTTTTCCGTATGTTCAGATCCAGACGACAGATCCAGACGACACTATCAAGTAGTGTTTGCAGATCTTCTTGACTAGAAGCTAGGAGTACTGTATCGTTCGCATATCGCAAATTATTGATGACTTCGCCGTTCACAAGTATTCCTTCTTGTTTTTCAGAAAGTGCTTTTCTGAAAATTCTTTCGGAGTAAACGTTGAAAAGCAGGGGTGACAAGACACATCCCTGCCGTACTCTTCTTTTAATATTGAGAGCATGTGGTTCCACACCATCTACTAAAACTGATGTTTGATTCCAATATAAATTTGAAATTATTCTCTGCCGTCCAAGCCAATGTCTTTTAAAGCTTCGATCAATATAGAGTGCTTAACGCGATCAAATGCCTTTTGGAAATCAATAAAACAACAGTATATGTCTACAGATATATCTCGACGTCTTTGAGCAAGTACGTTCATTCCAAACAGTGCCTCTCTTGTTCCAAACCTGTTACGGAAATCAAACTTAATTATGAACAACCAAAACTCCCGAAGATTGATTTAAAGTTTAATGTTTTTTATACCCTATAGATACTGCTTTATGCTCATTACACGAACATTTTGACTTGTTAAAAAATTACTTTAATTATTATGCGTTTTATACAATATTTTTGAGTTAAATAACAAACGTTTAAGAAAATTGAAAATTCGATGCAATTCCAAATCACATTTAAATTAGTATATAAATATAAACTTTAATAATAGTATTTCCCGCAAATCGCCAGGAAATTTTGACATTCTTGTCAAAATTTCTTGAAGAAAAAGTCAGGATTTCCTTACTGTAAGGAAATGATATTTCCGTACAGTTGTTAGTGTTCTACATAAATGATAGAAAACACATTGCTTATAAGGAATTAATTTATATTTTGAAAACATCAAGTCATTGCTGAATACATTTTTAAGATCAATTTGTTATATTTACAGTAATTTGACAGTTAGTACAATTATTGAACATTGGAGGAACACTCTTAGAACTATGAGAAACATTTTGGACAACATGCAGGGTGGAAGTGTCATTTTGTTGAATATTTTTGTACTGTGAAAATTTTATTTGCCACCTCAACCTTATTGTTAAGCGATTCTTCGATATATCCTTCAGCAACGTTTGATGACTTCCATCTGCCATGCCTCTTTAAACTAGTTATGTCGGCACCAGAGTCAACCAATATTGTTGCAGAAGACCGACGAAAGCAGTGACCAGTATATTCTGTCGGATTTACCAAGTTCAAATAAGTAGCAATTATTTTGGGCATTTTTCTAAATTGATGAATTCCTACCACTTGTCTACAACCCTTTCCGCTTTGATATTTAAAGAAAAATCGGTCACTGTTCATATTTTCTGGTCTTAACGAAACATACTTTCGATAAACATTCAAGTAGATCTGATTAATTACAAATGATCTTGGTTTGTTGGTTTTCGAATCAGGTATGCTGATTAAAAGCTTAGATTCTAAGTCTTCTATATCGTGTACAGTCATTCGGACTAACTCATCCATTCTACAGGCCCCAGAAATACCAAATATTACAGCCACCTAAAAAATAAATACAGCTATAATCTAAATAGAAATTAAAACCTTGTAAATTACCTTAATCATTAAATTTTCTTTATCTGGAGCTTCCTGGATAAATTTTTCAATTTCTTCCTTCGTTAAAATCTTAGATTTCTTTGCCCTATAACCTTGAGCTTGCCGTTTCAATAAAGAACGAAGTTTTGAGTATGTAGATATATCTACATTGTGTTTAAGTGCAAGGGTTGACTTCAGCATTGAACAATTGGCCCATAATGTTGAAGATTTCATCTTTAAACAAAGGTCTAGGAATTATGCCATTACAACATTTTCTGAGAAAGAACTCGTATTTTTACTCGTGCGATAATCCATAAAACGTCTGTATGCATTTTCGTACTTTTCTCTTGATTTCTTTGGCAATAATTCTAATGAAGCAGTATTCACTGCCTCAACCAGCTCTGAAGGAGTCCCAGGAATGGAAATTGCATCATCACTTATCGTTTTACTTTCGAGAACACCAGCAATTAAATTTATAAGCGTCAAGTTTGACAATTCAACCTCAATACGTTTCCATAGTAACCCAAGTAATTTTATTAGGAATTTCAAAGCACCATTTATTTGGGAATAAAATTATCGCGTTTTTTTTAAATCAATCAATATCTGTCGAATTTTAAACGATTTGCGGAAAAATAGTATGTTTACCTCGTAGGAAAAGCCACATTTCTGGACTCTGTGTTGCTAAGTCTCGGCTTGCGCCTCGACTTAGCAATCTTCACAGTCGTCCAGGAATGTTAAGCTTTTCCTACCCGGTAAACAATGTACTATTGTTATAGCACGATTAAATCAGAAATGTTTTCTACACGAACCAATTTATACAGTAAGAACAAGATATCTTTCCTAATAATATACAGAACAATAAACATATTTTGGAACATACGATTGATTTATTCCTGTTTATTCTTCCTTCTGGACAAAAAGTTTGTCCGGAAGGAAAGTATCAACTTCTTATGAATATTGTAAAAATGGCAACACCGAGCAGGTAAAACCAATGTAAATCGTGCACACGCAAAACTGCAAACGCTCGCACAGCTCGCAGAGGATTCGCCGGCGGATACAAATCATTCTCGTTTAGTTTTTAGTTGGCGTGGAGAGGTTTTGACGAGAGGTTTGTGTAGGTTTACAGTATACGCGACATACCTACATCGTGTTTATACTTGTGCTAAGTGAAAATTAACATTTGACGTATTTTGAACTCATTAGAAATTAATTCGTTAATTAAAATCGAATGGATTTTAACTATAAAAAATTACTTTAATGTATTTTAAAAGCAAGTTTTAGTGGCTGATTCACCGGTTTTTTTGCTAAGACCATGGCGATGTTTAGATTGGGTTTTTCAGTGTTGCTTTGTTTAGTTCCTGGAATTTTTGGAATGAACAATTTTTGTAACAGAAACAATTTTGAAAATGTTCCTCGCAATAGTATGCAGTTTAGTAAAGAAGTAAATTTCAGGGAATTTGCTGTGGTTGGAAATCTTAAGGCCCTACATTGCTGTGCGAAAGACTACCACACTATTGAATGGTGAGTTTTTATTCACATCAGCATTATACTAACCTGTTTTATTAATTTGTGTATTATCTAAACAAATAAAAGTATTTTCTTATCGCAATATGATAACAATAAAAAATATAATAACAAAACTCTTTAAGTGATAATCACAAATGACATGGGATTCCCAATAAGTACTTAATTATTGTATTATTTACCTAGTTTGAAGATTTACTTATTACTTAATTAATTAAGTACATTTATAGAGTTTCTAAAATATTCCATTTCAATAATTGTTTGTTTATGGTTGACTAACTAAATGTTAAACAAAAATACATTTTACTGACTTAGTTTCGTAGTTTCCTTTGCATATTCTATAATTTTAAAACACCCTCGTTAGAAATTATGATTTGAATAAACGGTAGTAGTTGTTATATTTTTGCTTGATTTTAAAATTACAATAACAAACTTTACCTCCAATGTAACAACATAAATATTTTGCTTGTGTGCATGTGCTGTGTCTTCAGTAATTATACATCTCCATTAATTCTTTCAAGTTTATTACACAATTACAGCATGTGCTTACCTTCGTTCTTCATTACTGTTATCTTTGTGACGGTTTTTTTAACGTTAAAGCTATTTTGTCTATTGGAAATTTGTTGGATGGGGGTTATTTACTCTTACAAGCCGTTCGTCAGTTTAAATTCATCTTCAACCATTAATTCTGGATCTACTACTGTCCCTTTTGTCCCTATGTATGTAGGACGTCATAGATATTCCTAGTTATGCAATCTGATAGAATGTTTTCCGTGCTAATCGGCAACCTCCAAAGGAAGAGCCTCAATTTTATATATGCGATTTCAACAATACTTTTAATCCTTGAATTTGCTCTGCCTGCATAACAAGTTAACCATGTTCCCAAGTACTTGTACCTGTTTACTCTGTCGATTAATACAGTCTGAATATGTAATTTAATATTGTACTGTTTTCTTGTCTGTGCATGTTTTGAGATAACCTTGAATTTTCTCTTCCTTAAGTTCATCTGATGCCATATTTGTGACAGTTTTCGTTCATTCGTTGTTCGGCATTGGGCGAATACTGCATGCTATTAGCTCGAATACCAGATACCAAACCACGAAAAAAAAACATACTATTTCAAAATATGTAATTTTAATTACAAATGATTACTTTACTACTCAAAATCTATCAATGACAAGTTGTGATAAATAAAAACTTTTTTTTATGACAAAACTTTTTTCTGTCTTCTCATCATTTTGCAAGTTGTCTACAGTGACGTACTTGAAACAGTCGCAAAAATTGTTGTGTATTTCCATTTTTAATTTTTATCAGTTTCATTAGTATGTGTTTTCTTCCGAAGTGAAGAAGAATCATCAACGGTGCTGGCTGACTGATCACAACTCATTTTCAGAGCTTCTAAAAGAATTTTCTGTCTGCTCTTTTCGTTTAAACTATTACCAGGAACAGGGCCGTTCCTGGCGGGTATGCAATGAATGCCCCGCACGCAGGCGCTAAATTTTAGGGGCGCCAAATATTTGGTTACCGTTACAAAAATATTCTTACTTCTAAAACAAAAAAAAGTCAGTGTTCAGTATTTCCCCGGTTAGCGCTAAAGCAATCACTTCATCCGTTTGCTATTCACTATTATAATACCAAAATTACTAATTAAATTACCAACCTACAATTTTATTAGTGTCAGCATACGACGCGCCATCTAATGCCGCACGCCACTCACTTTTAGGGAGAGCGCCCACCAAAGTGGCGTGGCAAGTAGCAAGTAGCACGCGTCTAGCATAATGTAACCAATGAAAACGAATGATTCAGTTTACACCAAAATGACAGTAACGTCATTCATTCTAATCATTCGTTAGGATTGGTTACATTATGCTAGACGCGTGCTACTTGCTACTTGCCACTGCCACGCCACTTTGGTGGGCGCTCTCCCTTAATGTTTTGTGTTTGCCGGCATGCCGCCCGCGTGGTTGTCTTAAGAAAAGTTGCGCGATGCGCCCGCCTCTGACGAAATTGTCGTTTGCGCAGCAAACCATAACGTTTTAATTCAGTCGTTAGATTTTGTCTTATTGGTTAGGATGTTCTGTTCGCAATATCATTGTCATTAAAGTTTATTGTAAATACATCAAGTTTATTGTAAATTGTAAGTTTAAGGCGGCAAATAAACTGCTTAAAGTAAGTAAAATAAGTTAACTTATTTATTTAAATAAAATAAAAAGTAAAGTAAAGTAGTAAAATTTAACAGTTTAACAACCTTAAAATTATTCTTCGGGTCAGTTAAGTATCATAGTTTATTTACAACCATGTATGTTATGTTGACATTGAAGACCTTTTATAAAAGTTTGAAAAACCAAATTTCTAGTTTTAAAATCTATCCAGGAGGAAAGTGACATTTACCCGAATGAAAAGTGTATGACATTAATTTTCCACCCAGGTAAATTTTAACATCCTACGAATAACCAAAATGTTTTTTTAAATTTTATTAGATTTTTTTTAATTTGCATTTAAAAGATATGGTTCTGAATAAAACAGTACCTATACAAACCTCGGTGAAAAAATTTCATTCCTGTCTCGACGCTATACGCCTCGGTAAACCATGTTTTTCTCTTGTTAAGAATTAAACACTTCAACTCAGTGTATAATATTATATATTGTGAATGTATATAATATACTATTATTTACAACCATATACGTAAAACATCACTTATGACATTTTTGAGAGTTGGAAAGTTCACCTTTTGTGACTGTTCTGATTTTCAGATAAAAATTGATTACCTGTTTAATTTCTGCCCAGAACAGCAAAATATTACTCAATTATTTTGGATGAATCTCCAGTTGTAGCGATGTTGAGCAGCTGACGGTCATAATTCGCTTCGTTTATTGTTCTCCATATGAAGTCGAAATTAGAGAACACTTTCTGGGTTTTTTCAAAGTTTTACATTTTTCAAATACTACAGGAGAAGGGCTTTTCCATTTTTTAAAAGAAGAAATATTATCAAAATTTGAAATAAACCTTGATAACATGAGAGGTCAGGGTTACGACAATGGGGCAAATATGTCTGGTAAGCATGTGGGCCTTCAAGCTCAGATTCTAAAAATTAATCCCAGAGCAATGTTTTTGCCTTGTTCAGCTCACACTTTTAATTTAAGTGTCAATGATGCAGCTAAAATTTCATGTGAAACTGCAGGTTTTTTTTCAATTATTCAGGAGTTGTTCAATTTTTTTTCTTTTTTTTCAATTATTCACCCTACAGATGGGACATTTTAAAAAGGAATGTACCAAACTTAACTTTAAAATCAGTAAGTGAAACACGATGAGAAAGCAGAGGCAAAGCCATTCGCCCTCTTAGGTTTCAATTCCTCGAAATGTGGAAAAATTTACATGATTTGGTGGAAGATAATTCAAGAGATATGAACACGACACATTCATCAAGGTCACTATTAGACAAAACTTAAACGTTCAAATTCATTTTTTCTATTATAATTTGGCATGATGTGTTAACAAAAATTAATATAGTAAGTAAAATGGTCCAGAATCCAAATACAACTTTAAAATGAATGCCACACAGAAATAAAAAATCTTATTATTTATTTCACTGAAAAAAGGTTAGACAAACATTTCGAGATTTTCATGAATGAGGCTGTAGCAGAAGCAGAAAAAAGTGATGTAGAGCAAACATTTTCATTATTAAGACAAAGAAAGACGAAGCTTCAATTTTCGTATGAAGGTACAGATGAAACAGTATTCGATCCAAAACAAAAATTTAAGATCAGTTTTTATTTTCAAATTTTGGACACAATTCAATCCCTACAAAGACGCTTTGGGGGAATAGATAAATTACACGATTTATTTGGATTTTTGGGTAATTTTCAAAATCTAGATTCTGATGTGATTAAAAGATCATGTATGGATTTGGATTTAGCTTTACAAATTCAACATGCAGGAAACGTATGCAAAGATATTGATGGTCTTGATTTGCATAATGAAATTCTGTCATACAAAGTTCTTAACCCATTCACAGACTCTGGCAAAATTTCGGATTCGCCCATAGATATTTTAAATTATATAACAAAGAAAAATTTACAATCCTTGTTTCCAAATCTATTTATAGCCTTGAGAATATTCCTGACCCTTCCAATTTCGGTGGCATCTGGCGAAAGGAGTTTTTCAAAGCTAAAGCTAATAAAAAATTATTTAAGAACGTCAATGTGCCAAGAAAGGCTATCAGATTTGGCAGTCATTTCAATTGAAAATAAAAATTGTGAAGCCATTGATCACAATGAAATGATTAATGAGCTTGCATCTGTGAAAGCACGACGTGTCATGTTGTAATTCCAATATTTGTTTTATTTTTCACTTGGTAAACAAAAGTTTTTTTGCATTGAGAGTATCTCCTTTCCGTTATTGTTTCATGTTAAATTCCTTATTAATTTGCGAATTGAGTGTTTTCTTTCTTACTGTTAACTTACATAATAATATTGTTTTAAAATGACCTTTTTCTTCATTTAATTTTGAAAATAAAACCTTTTTTCAAACATGATTCGTTTTATTTTTCTTTTTACATTCATATCATATTTTCAATCATATCACAAGAACATGTTATGATATAGGTATCTTAAAAACATAATATGGGGGCGCACAAAAAATCCTGCACGCAGGCGCTCACTACCCTAGGAACGGGCCTGACCAGGAAAATAGTTTTGAAACGAGCATCAAGAAAAGTGACAACCATAGATTTGTCATTATTGTTCTGAAGCTATTTTCTTGTGGCATTGTAAATTAATTACTATTTATAACTGGGAATAAGCCACATTAAAGATAAAAATACATTTATTGACGTTTCAATTTCCAATTCGGAAATCGTTCTCAAAATACAAATAGTAAATTAAACAAATTTTGTTTTTTGTTACATAGTGAAAAAATTCTTCTGATAATTTAATTTTATCTGACTCATTTATATTGACAATTCAGACATACAATATGCATTTTAAAGTAGACGACT